ATTTTATTTTGCTTAGTCAGCGTATTTTTTGAACCAATAGAGTTAGTTTGTTCGTTAATTTGGGGGGTTTTTAGTGTTCGCAAATATTCTTTTTATTCTTTCGCATCAAGATGTTTTGATAACATTCAAGTTTTTATGTTTCCATGTATGTCCGTAAAACAAAAATTTTTTGTTTCGTAAATAAACTTAAATGTTCTCAAAACGACTAAAAAACCTGGCCAGTTTTTCGCAACTAAATATAATTTCCGTGGTCAGTATTCGAGAGCGATCGCTCCCGCTTCCCGACCAAGCCTGATATATATATAAAATATATAAATATCTATATATAATATAATATATTATGTATATATTCAAATAAATATTGTCTATATATAATATAATATATCATATAGAAACTATTTGAAACAAAACATAAACATTTAATATGCTGTATACAATATTATTTTCATTTTCATTTTGATTTAAATATTAGCTATTCTGTTTATTTAACTTATAATAAAGGTTAATAATTTTCACAGTGCTTTAAGGTGCCATTTAAATAAAAGAGATAATTACAGGAAACCTAATGATTAAAAATATATATAAATTTATATAATAAAAGTTGCGTACATTAAATAAGTTACATTTACTATGGATTTTTTAAACATTTAAGACATTACAGTTCAATAAAAACTAAAATTTAATAAAACTTTTATGAAGTTATTGTATCTTTTATTGTATCGCTTATTTTATCTTACACAATTGGCAAATGAAGCAATAGAATAATCTTTATAATAAAGGCAATAAAGCATAAATTAAAAAATGAAGCAATAATATGTAACATAAATTTGGATGCTAAGTAAAAAGTAAACAGTAAAAAGCTTTGTGACTGACAATGTAGCTAATATGAAATCAATGCAACAAGTATTGCCATTTGAAGGAGGTGTCTGAGTAATTACTTATGGGTGTGCCGTTCATATGCTAAATTATTTAGCAAATGATCTTAACATTGAAAATGTGAGCAAGCATGTCAAACTGATAATAAAATATATACAAAATAATAATCAATCTGGAGCAAATTTGATAAAAACTATTTTATATAGTGAATCTGTTTTAAAAAATGTATAAAAAAATAGAATGAAAATGTATAAAAAAAACAGAATGGTGGAAATCTCTAAAACTTTTAGACCACAACATTATCATGGATATTAAAGGTTTTTTAAACGCACCAGCTTCTAGTGCTGGACATAAAAAAATTATTTCAACTTTTATGCTCGTTCATTCCAAGATAAGAAACAAGATAAGGAGTAAAAAAAACAAAGCTTGTTTTTATATATAGAACATTTAATAATAATATATTGGTTGATGAATTACAGCAGAAATGTTAATAGAAATTATATAAAATGACTAATGCTTTTTTTTTAACTGAAACAGTTGACTAAATACGACTTAAAAAAAAAAAAGAGTTTAAACCAAAAAAACCATGGGTTTTTTTGTTTAGTTTTTTAAAAAAAACCATGGCTTTTGGTTTTTTTCAAAAAAAATGGTTTTTTTGCAACACTGTTGCAACCTTTGTCTACACAATGTGAAATCTGTTATAAAATTTCCACATAATGTTTGAAGTTTGCATCAAAATATGCAATATGCCTTAGATGCATTAACAAAATCAATTCAAGCACCTTTAATAAAAGTTGGATCTGAAATAATAAATAACTTTGTTTGTAAAATAAAAAAAGTTCTGTAACAGAACTTATTCAACACACCGATGGCTGCATGATAAGTTTGTTAAACAGGCATTTGTAAAGTCAAGTTGACTGGGCTAAAAACGCTAAGTGTTTTAAGTGAACCACAAGCAGCTCATTTTGGTCAAAACAAAGTTTCTATCATGACCCTTGTAGTCTGGAATGTTGAGTTAAAAACATTCCCTATAGTTTCTGATTCAACTGATCATACAAAGTCTTCAGTTTATACCATACATTGACAAAATCCTTTACTTTATTCCAAATCAAGTCAAAGAAGTACACATATTCAGCAACAATGCTACTTCTCAGTTCAAAAACAAAAGCATTATGGCTGCAATAGTTGTGTTTGAAAAACTAGAAAATCTAGTTAATACAAAATCAGATCAGCGGCAGATTTTGTGTTAGCATTACAAGTAAGCATTGCAAATATCTGTAATTTATACATCAGAAAATGATACAAGATGTATAAGTTATTTGACTGAGTTCGAGAATGATCAAATATATTAAATAAAATGATTTAGCCTCCCCAATTGCAAGATCTCTCTCCTATTGGATTTTTATGGGTAATGTCAAAAACTAATGTCAAATGATGCATAAGATGCGGACAAAACTTTTTAGTTAGTGGCATAAAATTGACTTCGGCAAATTGGATAAGTAGAATGCCAAGAATATGTATGGTAGTTATTGTCGCCAAGAGTGGTTAAAAGACAAGTAAATTATAAATTAATCTAATCAGACTTTTATTAACTTTTTTGTAAAATGAATAAAAAGGAAGATAACATATAATTCATGTAGACTTTGCTTACAGTTTCTCTCCCAATAGCAAGTAAAACTACGATATCTTATTTCAAAAAGTACAACCATTCAAATAATTATTAAAATTATCATTGTAACTAAAATGAAAAACACCAAGTCATTTTTATAAAGAAAAAAAATTTAACACTCTAAATTATATTGATAAAATATAAAATTATCTAACTGATAAAAATAAAATTATTAAACTTCAAATTATTGCATAATAGCTTTTATTTTATATATGAATTTTTTCTATATTAATTATTTTAGTATATTATTTACTTTTATTGTGGAGTTCTTATTAATTGTTGTAATAATTCTTAAAATGCCTGCATTACATGGCTGTTTCAATCAATAGAAAAGAAAGCTTGATGTCACGAGTTTATCAACAAAACAAAAAAGTATTTTTGCATAAAAAAATATAAAAATTCAATAACTTTAAAATAATAGTATCTTTTTTTTTATAAACGTTTTTATCTTCAAATAAAAAAAATTAAAAGATATATCTTTCATTAAACAATTATTAACATTTATGGGAACAAAAATAAAAGTTGTAAAAATATTGCTAATAATTTGGGATCACTTTTCTGTAATTTTTACGGAAAACCTGTCTTAGGCCAACTAAGATTTGATAACATAACTACATGGTTGATGTTTGAAATTTAGAACACTAGTTAATGAATGTCTGTTCTATCTAGATTTCTGCAGATTTTGATAATTTTTTTACAAAAAGTTAGTTTTTAATGCATTTATATTTTTGTTTTTATGCGTTTGAATGAATAACATAATATTTTTGTAAAGTCTTAATACTTTAATTAATAATACTTTAACTATTTATGAATATGAAAATCAAAAAATTATTTTCTGTATCTCTAGCTATGTTATTAAATATGTTTTCAAACTTGACTGATTTTAAAAAAATCCATCATTTTAAAACAATCACGTGACCTCAAAAACTGTTCAAAGTAAAATAATGCGATTTACTCGACTGACATAAATAATGCCTGTTTCAGTTAACTATTAGGTTTAAATTAAATTCTTTTAATTAATAGTAGTTGTAAACTGTGTATTATTAAATAATAAATATCTAAAATATAATTTTTTTTTACGAAAAGTGACAAATAATTCTCAAAATTTACCCAAGTTCTCTATTTGTCGCATTTAATCTGAAATCAAAAAAAGTTTTTGTTAATTCATTTAATGTCTTAAGGTAAAACATTGTATTAATGTTTATATTCTTTTTACAGAACAAAATTATCTCTAACTTTTCAAAAGTTATAAACGTTTTAGTAACACCACTTAAGTGATTATTTGAAAAAAACAACAACAACAAGCTGTAAAGCTCACTTTGAAACAGCCATGATAATATTACAATATGAAAATAAAAAACATTTTTTATAAGCAGTAAAAACTTATAAAGTAATTTGACAAACTTTTTATCAAATAAGTAATGTTGTTAATAAATAAATGGAAAGCTAGTGTAAAAATCTAAAGACAAAGTTCTTCTAAAGAATTTTTTTACAGCACAATAAATGATGATTGTTATGTATATATTCTTGTAACATTAATGTTACAAACATATTATAATAAGTATAAAAATCAAATTTTATATTTATTAAGCAATTAATGAATAAACAGATAGCTCATGAGAAAACCAAAGCTCTTGTAAGAAGCTGTTGTAAGAGGAGAAGATTGCCATGGCTTGCCATATTTATTTTAAGAGAGCTTTTCTCTGCTTTACTACTGCGGAGGCCTGTATGTATGTATGTATGTATCTATGTATATATATATATATATATATATATATATATATATATATATATATATATATATATATATATATATATATATATATATATATATATATGTATATATATATATATATATATATATATATGTATATATATATATATATATATATATATATATATATATATATATATATATATATATATATATATATATATATATATATATATATATATATATATATATATATATATATATATATGAGAGAGAGAGAGAGATTAAAATGTGTTTTTAATTGTGAAATTTTGTGGCATTATGGACAAATTTTAAGATATATACTTTTTTAAGTATATATTGAAAATTTTTAGCATATTTTTATTTTACATATTTTGTACTTGTATTTATTCTTTGTAGATGTGTGCATAGTGTTTGCATTATTTTTATTTATTATGTGTTTGTTTTAGTTCTTTTTTTTTTGTTGCTAATCTCTAGTTTTTTGACATATTTTGCCAAATATTATGACAAGTACATTAATAAACAATTTTCATGATATTTAATAAGGTAGTTTGATTTTTTTTTTTTTATTATTCTACTGTGTACAATGCATATTACCTCTTTTTAATGATGTAACTTATTCAGATGATACTTTAAAAGTTTATATATGACATAAAACTTTGTTAATACATGTGTACATGAAAATTGAAAACAGGAAACACCCAATAAAAAAATTCTTACATTGAAAAGACTCTTGAAACTGAACAACCTATCAGTTATAACCACACATATCACTAGTATAGTTAACAACCAAAATCTATGCAATATTTACTACAGTACAAAAATAAACCAAAATGTTATTACATTATCGTAAGCGACATCAAAAAAGCCAGTCGCAGGTTACTCGGCTTAACATCAATTAAAACTATTTCACCCAGTTAAGATTTACAGACCACACATTTAATTTAATATTAAACCTGAAAAATTACTATATATTGTTTTAAAAGTAGAAAAAAAATTACCAAAAAATTTTCAGTTAAAAAAAAAAAATCATTGTTAAAACAAAAAATTCTCATTTTAAAACAAAACTATCAATTTCAGTAAGCAAACTTTTTTTTTTGCATTGAGCTATTAAAAATGGTTTTAAAATTACGTTTAGTCACGTGTACAAACAAATGGTCAGACGATCGTCTACATTGTACCAAAATATATATTTTTTAATAAACTTTACTACTTTAAAATTTTTACATCATTCAAAAAAAAAATCTTGATCATAAAAATTTATAAGAAGAAGAGGGATAAAATATAAATACTTCCCACCGTGGTTAAGCAAAAAACAGGTGCGCTGAAGAGTGTGAAAAATACAATTCTAGAAAAGCATCAAAAAAGTAATTCATTGGATTTATGTCGAAAATGCAAATTTCTAAACGTCGTAAAACCCACTATTAAAATAAAGACAAACATGCCGCTACTGGAATAACATCAATTATTAAAACCATTCAATTTTCACCGTTAATGGAAGCGCCAAATATTAACTCCCTAACATTATTTAAAGATAAACCGGGGTAAAAGGTAAACGCATAAAGTATAATGATTTTCCAATTTTTCGATTAAGTTAAAGTTACAGGTTCAATTTTTTTCTTTATATTCATGTTTAAATGATTGCAATATGTATCTTTTTAATATTATTCCAATATTGATTTTGTTTCAAACTATTATTTTCGCTGAATTTAACGCATTTAACGCATCTCCAAAGTCAAGCTAGCGCTGACATTTTCATTTTTCTAAAAGCATTTTAATGTTAATTTAAGTAGTAACTTTTTCGATAATGTTTTGGTGACTAAAAATAAATGTATAATTTATTTTTTCTAAAACAGTATCTTTTTAAATTCATTTATAAACGCAAAAAGTTAATCCCCAGACATGATAGTTGCACAGAGTAAAGAGTTCTTCTAATTATGAGAACTTGTTGTTATAACAAATTTATAATAACTACTTGCATATTTTTGGTATATTTAGAAGTTTAGAAAGAAATTTTATCTGAAAAGAGAGAGAGAAATAGAGATGGAGAGTACGTAGAGTTATTGTTATTAATTTTTGTCTGCAAACATCAATTTTGAAGTAACTTAAATTTGTACACGTTGCCGTAGAGTTTAAATACTTCGTTAAAGCAATCGATTGAATTAATTAAAATAGAATACATTCTTAAACTATTGAAGTTCAAAATATATTTATTTTGATGTTATTTAAATATTTATGCATTAATGATTTTGAGCAAACGTGCGCTATCAACTCACATTTCAAGCCTTAAAAGGACACATTAACACTCTTTTTGGGATTAGAATTGCTCCCCGTCCTCCTACCCTGAAAAGAAAAAGCTCACTAAGTTAAATATTTTTATGAATTGATTATGACAGGTTTCTTTTTCGTTTATAACTGATAAAAATCTATGTGTAGACAGGACTGAAATTATTCTTATTCAAAATAACTTTTTATTTTTCTAATATTAAACTTGATGACCGCTGAAGTCGATTAAAAAAATTTTGTCAAGTCTAGACTTGCTTCTGCTCGATCATAAGATGAAAAAAAATAGTCACAAAGTGACTCAAAGTTTAAAAAATTTTATCAAAAGAAATAAATATTAAATAAACATTTGACAAAATCTAATGTTTGTTTACTAGCTCAGTAAACAAAAAATGTATTTTGTTTACTGAGCTAGCAAGTTTCAAAAATAAAGTTATTGAAAAAATAACAATGTCTGTTTTCTTTTATGAAAATATTTCCTGGTAAAGTAATAGTTCTTGGAAAATATCAAAAGTTAGGTAAAATTTCGTTTTAAACGTAATTGGGCAGATAAATACTCGTTACCAGTCATAAAAAACGATAGCTTGTTTTAAATGAAAAATGTAAATAAATAAATATTTTTGTTTATTTTTATTTTCATAAGGTTTAAAGAAAATTTTGCTACGTTTTTTCTACATGCGAAGACAGGTTGTAAAAAAAATCACGGTTAATTTATCTAACTCAGTTTTTATAAAATAACATTTATCGACGATAATATTTTTAAGCTCTTCTTTTAGCTTGAGTATATTATTGCTTTTTATTTTTTAATTATTTATATTATTGGTAATAAAAATTGATACAATCATTTTATTCTATTACTTTCATTTAGACGTTAAAATCATTTTTTAGTATTAATTTATTTACTAGTATATATTTAAATTAATATATTGTTAAATAAATTAAATTCATATTTTAGAAATATACATATAATTGAATAAATCATATTTATGAAATTAATATTTTTTATGTTCTATGGTTTGTACTTAAATGACTCTACGTTCTTGTCTCGGAGCACCATGGAAAAGAGATTTAACTAGGATGCTCATGCCGCTTTCCTTACCGATATCGCAAAGATCCCCAGAGCAGGCATCAAATCTTAGACCTCTCGATTCTAAAGCAAACGATTAAACAACCGCGCCACGACTGCTGGTTTTCTCAACACTACGAGATGAATTAAAGAACTTGTTTTTTAGAAAACAATTCTATTGAAAGAAACATTATATTAGCTTATAAACCTTTAAATAACTTAATAGATTTTGTTTGTTTATATTGAAAACAATTTGTTTATGTAAGATGTTAATGATTGAATAACAATGTTTTAATCTGTTATTACATCTGATATGTATTACAGGTATGCATTATGTATTACATCTTTTAATTTTAGTGTAGCTGCAGCTTATCAAAAACTGTTTTGATTCAATTATTTTAAAAAAAAATCTTTGTATGAAATTTTAATATACTTAAAAAAACATGCCCTATTTATTTTATAATTCAATGATTATATTTGGTTTCCTATTGCGCGCTCTTTTTCGTTTCTAGTATTAAAACTACTTTGGCCACCAATATTATAGCTTTTCACCACATCTAAATCAATTTCAATGGCTTAAAGCATAATGTTCACTTTGTCAAACTTTACCATAATAATGGTTAAGATGACTAACATTACGGTCATTTCCAGCTGATCCGTTTTTGAGAAATCTACTAGTTTCTATTATCGCGTCCGGTTAATGCGTTTTGTCATTAATCAGCTCTTAAGGCTGCCTTAAAGTTTAAACGCATATTTCATATACTCCCTCTGTTTCGAAAAACTGTTCCGATTTGCATTCAATGTAAAGAATTATTAAAAAATAAATTATGTTGTTATCTTTTTATTTTTTTTATAAAACTTATTTTTTTTTTGAACATTTAATACTAATGGAGTATTAAATGTTCAAAATGTTCCAAAAAAATAAATTTTATGCAAAAAATAAAAAAAATTATAAAAGCTAAAATATTGGAACGAAGAGAGTATAAAAATAAATAAACACTATTGACAACTAGATACTTGAAAAACTGGTTCTGATAAATATACTTGTAATTAAAATAGTCCATTTGAAGACAACACGCCTCTTCGCATGCAGACCATATAGTCTGTGAGAGACTTTACACTTATTTCCAATAATTCGATTTCTAGACTTAACAGAGATTTGTTGAAGCAGAAAAAAAGTTGAACTTGAAGAATTTGTCAACTTTTTTTGTTGATTTTTTTGTTTGTTGTTTCATTTTGTTAGTTGTTTGAGATGGTTAAATAACAATTTCAAACTAAATAAATAAATAAATTAAACAAATTTGTTGACAAAAAAATTGTTTTTTTGTAATTTTGATTTTTCTATTACTTAAATATTATAAATCCTAATATAATTTTACATTATACTTTTGTAAACAGATTACATTCAAAAATTTTAGTTGAAAATAATATATTCAGTTATGAATAGTATAAAATAAAAAATAGGCTATTGAGTTATAATTATGTTGTTTAATTAATATTATTTTATCAAAAACCATAATTTTAAAGCGACAATTACTTTATCACAATGTTTGGTTTTTGCAGTGCTTTGAACTGTGATTTTATTGTTACAAAAAAATCATTTTGCTAAATTTTGTTTTCTTAAACCTTTTTTTTTCTTTAGTTCACTGATCTAAATCCAGTATATAAATTCAGTTGGTTACATTGGATTTAGACGGCAATAATAAAAAATTCGCTTTTTTAATAACAAAAATCAGTGTAAACAATTTTAAAAAATCCAAAAGTTTTTTGGAATTTTCTAGTTTTAGCCAAGCCCTGGTCGGCTCATGGAACATATAGTTTTTTCAGATTACATCTTAAAAAAACCATATATGTAGCATATAACTTCAATTTATATCACAATTTATTGTAATTTTTTAGTCCTGTTTATGTATTAATGTAAAAAACTTGTAAAAGGTTCTAACGATAAGATATTCTGACGATATGCGTCAGAAGTCTTGTTCGTTTGCTTTTGTAAACAACGACAAATCTAAACATCTGGTTAAAATAATGCATTATAATTTAATAATTTTATAAAATCCTGTAGTTATTTTTAATGTAATTAAAAGAATGTAACTAACTCTGAACTCGCAGATATAGTTGTACCGATGTAGGTATTCTTAACATAATAAAAAAGATGTAGCTACATCTGTAAAATCATTAGATGTAGTTGCAAAGACATTGTTATACTTAGATAATTAAAAATATGTAGCTAATCATTAACATTTTACAATGATGTTACTGACCCTTGGCAACCGGGGCATTTAGCCTCCCCCCCCCTAATTTTTGTTTTTTCGGGCCCGATGTTATAAGACATCAATAAAATTTCAGATATTGTTGGACAGATGTAGTTATACCTCATTATATTTACAGATATTGTTGAACAGATGTTATTAGACAATTCAAAAACTGATGTTGTTATCCTGATTTTTTAAATTATTGTTAAATTTATGTTTGAAAAGAAATAATATTGACTATTTTGCGCATGCGTCATTCCGAAATAGGTTCTGTTGCGAATCTAGGCTATTTTTTTAATGTTATCTACACATCTTAGAGAATCACAAAAAATAATTTTATTTTACTGGACTAATGATGAGTGTAATCCCTTCTTCCTCCTCTAAAGCGTATTTTATACGTATTTACTTTTTTAACACTAACAAGCTTTTTACTAAAAGCCAAAAAAATTATAAAATATTAGTGAAACATTAATTTGTAACAAAGCGGTTATCATAGCCTTTAAACATATGTTTATCACTATTTTAAAACGCTAAAACATTTTAAAATTTTTCGGTGTTTAAACACCATTTATTTAATAAACATGATTGTCATAACACTTATAATTAGGTTTTTTAATGCAAATTGGGTTAATTAAAAATTGCGTTTTTAGCTTCTATAGAAATAACTTTTAAATTGAAGAACTTGGAGCTAAAAATGCTCAAGTCACATAAAAATGTTTTGAGAAAATCAACTTTGATCAGAGATATAACACTTCAGAATAAGTATTTAAAATGCCTAATCAAAGTACACTTTCTCAAAACATATTTTTTGTAGCTTAAGTACTTTTAGTACTAGGCTCTTCAATTGCGCATTTAATTCCTATAGAAATGACTTTTAAATGTTCTTTTAATTCCTATAGGAATATTTCTTAAATATTGCAATTGGAAGATAATTTTCTGTTCTAAATAGGTAGGGGTAATTGTCAAAAAAAATTTTCATGAAATTGGTTCTTTACATTGTATTTTTATAACTAAAAATTCATTTATTGAAAATTAGGCCATGCTGTTCATTACATTGTTCAATTTTGTATCAAACAATGCATACATTTCCTTTGACACTGATAATTCCTCTTCAAAAACCTTTGGCATATCAGGGTGATTATCACAGTAATTTACAATAAATTTATAACAGCTTTTTTCTTTATGCATATACTCCAGTTTTCCTTTTTTATCATTGGTTAAGTATTTTGCATAACAGCGGGCCATACAAAAAAAACACATTAGTATAGGGCGGACATCATCACTTTCAAAATCTTTTGGCAAATCGCCAGCTTTTCTATAGGTATCAACAAAACCATTGTAATACTTGATTGATTGAAGTAATAAACTGTTGATTTTTCGAACAGCCTTTGAAGAAAACTTATCAGTATTCTCCTCAAGAATCTTCCGTTTTAAATCTGCCATTTCAGTGTAACATTCTGCAATTTCAAATGTTAATTGTCGACAAATTTGTAAAAAATGTTGTGGGTTGAGTTCAAGTAAGATTGGTTTCAACATGTCAATGCGACGCTTGTGCATTTTGCATCTATTTTCAAAATCGTCATCAAAGAGAGCCAAATTCTTGTAAAACTGACTAAAATCCTGAGTTATTTCAGTGTAATCAGAAACATAACCATCAAGCTTATAGAACTCTTTAGCAGATTGAAGACAGAGATTGAAAAAGTTAAACAACTTCTTTGCATCAGTATAATTACTAACAAACAAATCTGTGACTTGTTCTTCGTATACTGAAACTTCTAAGTCACCAAACTTCAACTTATTTTCTTTATCAGAAGTGTCATCCAAGGTCTGGTTTTCATTATTTCGCTCTCTAACTTCAAATAACTTCTCACATGATGACTTCAGCAAATTTAAAGTATACTTTAACCAGCATCTTTTGATATCAGCTCTGGACTTCAAGATTTTCTCTTTTGAATGCTCTCTTTCGCTTTCTTGAGAAAATTCTTCAGCATCAAACTTTACAAAGACTTCTTTATTAATATGTTCAGCACAAGATAGGCAATATCTTGCAAATTTATACTCATCTTTTGTGATGTAATACTGTGATAAGGTTGCACAACAAAGGGACCAGTCTAAAGGATCATACTGCTTTGTGTTCATCTGACGAACTAATGTAATGTGGCAATACATAGCAGATTCTTTAGGTTTTCCTAAATGTCCAAGAACCTGAGCTAAATAATATAAAGTTAAGGTATGTAGACTTTCATAATACGCCTTGCTTTCTAAATAACTGGATTTTTCTTCTGAAGGTTTCCATATATTGTGAAAGTCTAAATAACTAAGATACAACGTTTTCTCATTTTTTTCATAGAGAGATTCTGCTTTTTTAAGGTAATCAAAAGCTTTGTCATGACACGAGCGATTTGACCATAGTATCCCTAATTGGTTGTAAGCTGCTAATTGAAGACTAGTCAATTTAAAATTGTTTTCAGTTTCAAAATATTCTATACATTTTGAAAGGTATTCTTCTCCTGTGCTTACTTCCTCACATTCTATAAAATTTAAACCAAGTTCATAACATAATTCGGCCAATAAATCATTAACATCTAAAACTTCTATTATTTCTTTTTGGTTGCAATCAAAACTATCATTATTTTTAATATTAGAATTATTATATACATTTTTAAAGTCTTCTTCAATCTTCTCTTTCAACGTTTTTAATATACCCCGAGCTTTATACTTAAAGAAATATGGCTCAGATTCATTAGCTGGTTCACAATTTATTTTTACAGCTTCTTTGAACTTAGCGTAACCTTCAGAGTTTAACCATTCTTGTAAATATTCCATTTAAACCATTTAGTTTTATGTACATCTAAAAAAAGCTACCCTGATATAACAAGTATCTCTCTTAAATCGTGTTCGTAATGCTTAGTAACGAATTTTGATTCTCAATTGGTGCTAAAGCTCATATTTGTTTTACAGCTTAAAACCCCGATTTATTTTTGACGGTGCCTGGCATTTCAGACTGACAGAAACAAGCCGTTAATTTTTTTTTTCTTTCATTTTTTTACTTTTTACTTTTTTTTTTTTTTTTTACTTTTTACTATTTTATTATTTAGGGTTCATTTGCAAACTACCTACACTTTTTTAGGGAGGGGGTGGGGTTAATAAATTTGAAATCCTGGAGAAGAAGGTATTTATATTAATTCCGTTCATTATTATTTATAATATCATTACCATAATCATTACATATTATAATTTACTTTTTTTTATCTCTTATAAATTATAAATTTATTTTTTTCTCCGAATATTTTTGCTTTTAATTATATTTTTTAATTAATTTTTTTTTAGTTTTCACTAGTATTTCACTATCATTATATAGGCCTTACATATCGTATTACATAAACTTGGAATTTGGAAGAAGATCGTACTGATCTTGTTGCCAAATCCATATAAAATTAAAATATAATTTTAATATAATATAATACAATTACTTTAAATCAAATTAGCAATTTAAAAAAATTTGCAATTAAAAATGGTTAAAAATAGTCTCAAAGTATTTTAATATATTATAAATTTAAAAAATATTTATATTTGACTTATTTTTAAAAACTTGTAATTAAATTGACATTATACAAAATTGATTAAACTTTTTTTGACAAAAGGGTTCGTTGTAATAGCTATAACTTCGCAAAATAGGGGAAAATGGGGCAAAATGGCAAATGGGGAAAAGATGACTTTTCATATAAAAACTCAACAAAAAGTATTAAAAACGGGTGGTAACGAAATTATATTTATATCTTATTATATTTAAAACACTAGTTAAATTGGTGAATATTAAAAGGGCGGAAGTCCAATAATGTAAAGGTTGAAACTTTTTTTCTAGTAAGCAAATCTAGGTTTTGCAGTTTTTATAAAATCCTGACACGAATGAAAGTGCTTATTAATCGAATTCATTTTTAATAGTGCAATTTATAACAATTTTTATTATAATTTATTACAAATTTTGCTATAATATATTAAAAAAAGTTTTTTAATATGATAAACCTAATCTATCGCAATTTATTATAAGAAAATGAGTATTATAAGAAAATGAGTATAAATGGTTTAAATAAATGTAAATAAATCGGATCTTGATTTTATAAAAAACGCAAAACCTGGATCACTGCTCACCAGAAAAATGAATCGACACTTTCGAGAAACTAAAAAAAAACTGCATTTTCCAGTAGTAAATTTTTCTTAATGGTTCAATAGTTTTTTTAGTTTCCCGAAAGTTTACATAGTTGGACTTCCGCCCTTTTAACATTCACCGATTCAATTGTTTTTCTTAAATACTGGTAATGTAATTTTATACGCCAAAGTTTTTTTTAGAGGCTTAAAAAAGTAACTTAGTTTCAATTATTGCTAATGGATGATGTCCTTCAGATGTATCTTTAAATATTTTTTTGCGACGCGTGTTTATTTTGTGTTATTATGTTTAGTTAAAGTACTCTTTAGTTTTTAAAGTTTTATAAAATTGGGGACAGAGAACGCATAACCAATCACCTTGTTTCCAGATGACAAGTTTATAAATTTTACATTTTAATTTGTCTTAAAAATTTATCTACTTGCAAACTGAAAACTCATGCAAGCAATCAATGATAAAACTGAAAACTCATGCAAGCAATCAATGATAAAACTGAAAACTCATGCAAGCAATCATGATAAAACAGACATACTGACGATGTATTATTGCTTCATGACCGACAGTTTTGCAAAATGCTCGCCATCTTGCCCTGTTTAACCCTATGTTTATTTTTTGCTTTAAGGGTAAGGTTTTGTGTTTAAAACACGGTTGATTATATATATTGCGCGAATTGTATATTTCTGATGGTGCCTCATTAATGTAAATTTATGATTGCAACTTTTTTAGCATTTATTTATAGTTAAATAAATGTATACTATAGTTAAAACAAAAAAAGAAAAAGAAAGTTGGTAGGTAGAAGGCAAAATAATTCTAATATTGTTGTTAAACATTAAAGCATTTTACGCCATTTTTTGGAAGCTTTTTTAAAAATTTAATTAGAAGATAATGTAGTTTCGAACTTCTCTCCTGACTTTATGTCCAACTGTTTGCAGAAAAAAAAATATTTGACCAAACATTTCTATATAATTCTCTTTTTAATATTTATATAAAATGTGTAAACATTCAACCTAAATAACAATAATAAAAAAAAATATCCTTAGAATTAGTAAAAATAAGATCGGCTATAAATTGCCGCCCTTAAACTGTTAGAGGTCGACATCAGGTTGACAAAAAAAAGTTTGAGACAGGTTTTACCATAAAACACAGATCGGCGATTTTCTGCCGACCTCAAAAACTTTTAGGTTGGCAGTTAGGTCGGCATTGACATTCAAACTAGGCAAACCTTAATCGCGCCACTAATGCGTTATAATTAACAACGCATCTAAGGTAAACGTAATGTATCTTATATAAGTCTAATTTCTTTAAGTCTGCTTATTTAAGTCATTACTAATTTTCTATGAAATTCTTTTATTTAAAAAAAGTATTAGACGTGTTTACTTTTTTTTGATTAGTTTTTTTAGTATTAACATCTCTCCCGTTCAAAATTATTTTGAAGTTAATATGAAGTGATAAATTGAAAAACACTTTTTAAGTACTTTTTTAAATTCATATTTTAACAAGATAGAGGAGTTAAAGGCCCTTTTTCTTATACTCTTTTTGAAACTTAGGACAATGGTACTTTAATTAAGGGAGACAACAAGAAAAAGAGAAAATATTTGAACTAAAAATTCAATCGATTTGTTTGTTTACTGAACTTTGATATAGCTTTGAGCTAAAAAATAAAAACTATTTTAATTTCTGAATTTATTTTCATAATATAGTTTTTATAACTACAGTGAGATATGC